CGGTGCGGTACCGGTTTCGAGTCATGTCTATCTCCGCCTCCTCTGCCATCATGTACCATTTGTGCAAAAGGTTTTGGGCCCCACAGGACAGCATATAGGTCATCATTTAGTCCATCTTTGAACCAACAGACTAGGATATCCTCTGACCAGTCTACCAGGCCGCCAGGTCACAAAATTCCTCGGTGTATTCTGCTACCGGGTGACGGCCTTGTTTTAGGACTCTCATGCGGTCGCGGGCTTTTCTGTCGGTGAGGGGGTCCTCAAAGTGGTGGCGTAAGGCCATCATGAAGCGATCAAGGTTTCTTAATTCTGGGGCATTGAAGTTGTAGAGCGTCACCATCCATCTGGCTGCTGCCCCTTCGAGGGCCACGGTGACAACTCGTACTTGGGATCCCTGGATTGGGAAATCCCACCCATATTCTTGCATGTAGGCTAGCACTTGCACCAGGAAAAATCCCAGTTTCTGGGGTCTCCATCGAATTGTACCCGCAAGGGCGGGATCTTTCTCTGCAGTTGTATGTCTCTGGGTTGGCCAGGGTTAATCTCCTGATCCGGGGCGTTTAGGGGTTGGGCTACCTGGTATGGCTGCTGGTTCTTCGGCTTGTCCCTCTGCCCACTCAATCTCCGCTGGATCCGGGGTGGCGGCTCGGGTTCTCTCATTTTCTGGTTCCCTCGCTCTCCTGCGTTGTCATCCTGGTGCATCCCTCACGTCGAGGTTCTCCAGGGCTTCCTCATGAGGTGGTTTATGTACCGTCTCATTCGGTTGTCAGCCGGTGGTTCCTCCTCCCATTCTTCCTGATTCGATAGGGCCTCCAGCCCCAATTTCCATCCAGTTTTACGATTGCCCCGGGTGAGGGTTACTCCTCTGGTTCTTCCATCACAGCTCTCTCTTTTCCCTACACCTATAGACCACTGGAGCTTGGTGGAGGTTTCGTAGGCGGCTTCGCTATCTTCGATGGGGTGCACCGAGTCAGTATCTGGCTGGGTAACTGTCGACGTTTCTCCCCAGCTTTCGGCTTCCCCTTGGTCCTTGCTGTACTCAGACATTTTCCTTTCTTGCAGGGTCCCCTCAGTAGAGTGAAGGTATTTTTTTAAAAAAATTTCCTCTCTGGGCTGACCTCTATTGCAGACGCTGCTTTGTGTCAGGCTACAGAACTTTTTCCCACTCAATTAGCAAGAATGAACTTCTGAGAACCAAACGTATCAAAAAGGAATCCTTTATTGAGATGAGACAGTTCATGTCGGAGTTCAAAGCAGCGTCTGAGGTCCCTCAGGCATACAGGGATACATAAGGGAGTTTAGAACCCCTCCCCTTATCTCGATGTGTATTTAGTGAAACAAAAGCCAGTATGTTAATTCCTCCCCACCCCTTTTTAAGGAACGATCTTTTTCACAGTTTCCCAGGACATACCTAATTTCCCCCCACCCTCTTTTTAGAGTGAACTTTTTCCAGAGATTCCCCAGATACATCTCACTGTGGAGTTTTTATGATCTTCTCATCTCCTGGCTGTGCCAGTCGGAGGTGATAGGTTCTGGCCCTCTGGCTTTTCTCCCTCCGTTGTATCATGTGTGGGTTATACAAATTCGATATAAGGTTAAATATATTCACGTTACATCAAGAAAGGATTTCTTTATCAGCCTCCCCCCCCCCTTTTCTTCTTCCACTGAAGAAATGACAGATACACGGATCTGACACTGGTAAAGGAAGACCTTGGTTGGACTCTACCTTGTATGAAGTCCCTCCTCCCCAGATTAAAATATTATTTATTCTTAATATTAAAGAGAGGCAAGATAGGATATTTCCCCAAGGGAGAAATGGAGAAACATGTTCTTAAAGGCAGAAAGCGGCCCCAATCTGTCTTAATAGCCTCTAGCAGAAGCCTCAAGTCTGTAGAGATGGATATTTTGTGCCCATTAAGAAAGACTGGGCCAATCTATTCATCAACAAAACACCTTCAGCTCCAGTTGATGGGATTAAGAATTTACATCCCACACCCAAATTCTGGATTAAGCATTTACATCCTTCACCCAAATTCTAAGAACAGGACATAACCTTTAGGACATAATAGGATTAACCCATCACCATTAAAATAGCAAAAGACTGAAGGCTCACTGCATTGCACAACCCCCTGCAGCATCTCAGAACCCTATAAAAACCCATCCATTCCTAAGCCAAGGGGTCAGCTACTCCAGAAACATTGTCACTGAAGTTTCTGGAAACCAAATAAACCTCCTTTCCTTGCAGCCAGTTAGCCTCCATTTTATTTCCATCACCTTTCTCTTGGCTTGGAACCGGGACGGATTTTTTTCCCCAACAATCTGCAGCCATTGACACCTTCTGGGTATTTGGGAGCCTGTCTTCTCTGTTCCATTTGTAGAGACGGCTATTGTAGAGAAAAATTGAAGGAATGAATGCTGAGAAAGTGTGATGATCTGTAGGAATGACCTGGCAGACAGAAGAAAGACCTGCAGCCTAGGCAATGAATGGTTTGACAAGATGGCAGTTCAGTTTGCAGTGAGAGACAAGCATAAGAAATGCTTTAGAAGGGACCCTGCCTAGTTTTCTGGAGATGAAAAAGAAAGGAGAAGAGGAATTCTTCCAATCTTATAAGATTCTGTTTGGGGTAACCTTACAATAAAAATGTGTTCGTGTTCTGATTTTTATCTGGACTACCTTGAAGGGATAACATCACCCATGAAAGACCTGAATTATACTATTTAGTACAAGGGTGGGCAAATGTTTTGGCTCTGGGCCTCATTGACTTTTAAAATTTGACAGACGGGCCGCCACCTGGTGTCGAAATGCCTGTCATTACAAGTCAAAATCAAATGAATATAATCATTCAATCATTCACATCAAACCTTAATTGTGTACCAATCTTCGGTGGGCCGGATTAAAAAGACTAACGGGCCGGATGTGGCCCCCGGGCCGTAGTTTGCCCACCCCTGATTTAGTAGGAGTGTATTGATATTCTTCTCGTCTTTCCCATTACCTATCTCCTCTACTTATAACTATAACTTTTGTTGCTTGTATCTACAATTTATATTATGTTTCCTAGTATAATTTATGTTGCTTATTTAGTATCCTATGACTATCACTAAGTGTTGTATCTTATGATTTATGATGTATTTTTATGATGACTATGATCATGATTTATCACTTACAGATTTTATGTACGAGACCAAAGACAAATTCCTTGTATGTCCAGTCACACTTGGCCAATAAAGAATTCAGTTCTATTCAATTCAATTCTATTCTCCTATTCTATTCTATTCTAAATTTGTCCTAAGTATTCTTAATTCCACAATATACTACCATGAGCTCTGAATAAAAGGCAGCATATGCATCCAATAACAGGATTTTCTGTTTTTCTAGCTTATATTCACTACTTCAAAGTACATCATTGTTTATCCAGGAATAAAGATGTGTAACTGGGTATGTCATGTTGTTGATACTTAGGGGAGATACAATATTGTAGTGGTCTTCAGGGACTGACACATATGGCAGGGAACGGTATGTTCTCTGCTACCCCAGACTAATGTTTCTCAGCATTTCAGGCTAAATCTGCCTTCTGCCAAGAGCTCAGTCCTTATCAGCTCAAGGTTGATTCAGTGTTCCATCCTTCCCAGGTTGGTAAAATAAGGACCCAGATTGCTGGGGGCAATATGCTGATTCTGTAAAACTGCTTAGAGAAGGCTGTAAAACACTATGTGGCATATGTAGATGTGCTATTGCTGTTGCTTTTTAAGATGAGTAGACTTCAACTCCCAGAATTCCCCAGGCAACCATGGAATTCTGGTATTTGCCTTGGGAGTTGAAGACCACTCATCTTAAATTTGCTAAGGTTGAAAAACACTGTCCCGAAGGGTGGGACCAAAAGCAATAGGATGAAGTGCAGGGAAGCAGGAAGCTAAGTTATTAAGAGGAACTTCTTCAGACAAAGAGCTGTCAACCAGTCACAGGAGCTTCCAACCTTAGCATCTTTAAGACTTGTGAACTTCAACTCCCAGAATTGCTCAGCCAGCCTTGCTGAGAAATTCTGGGAGTGGAAGTCCCCAAGTCTTAAAGTTGCTAAGGTTGGAGACTCCAGAACCAGTGGAATAGCTTGTGCCTTAAAGTGGAACCTTGCCCTTCATTGCAGTCTCCAAAGAGTCCGGCTGAAATGTTTTATTTAGCCAACTCTGCTCCAAACTGGAGGCTGGACAAAACAACCCAGCCTTTCCAAATCTTTCATTTTTTGGAATTAACAATTTTGCCCTGAGACCTGGAGCGATACTGCTCACAAAGTTATGTGCCCTGGCTGGTTCAGCCACCACCAATCACTCCAATGGAATCAGGAATTTAGGTCACGAATAAGGCAGGAATGTGGAATACGGTCCTCCCTGCTAATCCAGCCACGTTGAGAGTTTCGGGGTGAAAAATGCAGCGTTTCTGTAAGGTCCTGCCTCTCCTCCTTCGTCAAGAAAGTAAAAACTCTTGAAACTTGGTATTTCAAAAGGAACCTTTTACTGAGCAGGAGTGAGGGGTCCCCAGATTCGGCCACTTTAAGACTAGTGGACTTCAACTCCCTGCTGTCTGGAGAATCCTGGGAGTTGGAAGTCGACCAGTCTTAAAGTGGCCAAGTTTGGAGACCTCTGTGATAGCAAAACAAAAGCAAAGCAGACTCTGAATTCCCTCAGAAGTAATGCATTCGCCAGAAGGCAGTAGAAAAGTTAGATTGCCCAGGAGTGCGGGCACCCAGTTTTCAGCCTCCCCGGGCACAGGAACCGAGGGAGCCCCCACGTATTTCTGTCAGCCAACAACTGACCCCAAAACTCGGCCTGCCAAACAAATCCCCAAACCGCCTCCATCCTACGAAGGCCGCTGGGTGAGTCCCAACCGGTGCCTGTCGTGAGGTGTAGTTTTCTCTGGAAAGGAGGCCGGCGCGTGGCCTGTCCAGCCGCTGAGGGAGGAACCACCGCGACCAGCATGCTTTGCGGCGCGCCCTGCCCCGCCCCCTGGAGAAAGTCTCCATCCGGGCCTTCCCGTCACGGCGGTGGGCGACTCGTCGCCATTACAAGCTGAGGCGGCGGCGCTGCTGAGGCGGACCGGGCGGCTCCCCTTGGCCGCGAACTCCCCTTCTCGCCACTCTCGAGGCGCAGGCCGGGCCTGGCTTGCGGAGGCCTCGCGGGACCCCCGCGCTCACCCCGAGGCCGCTCCTCCGTCCGCGGGACGCAGGCCCGGCCGCGCCAGGCGGCCAGCCCTCCCTCCGACTCGGACCCGGAGCGTCTGCGGTGGCCGCGCACCCGGCCCGTATTCCTTCCCTCGCCCGGGCGAAGCCGTGAGAAACATGTCGCCATGAGGGTGGCCGAGACGACTGCGCTGCGCCGACCCCGCCGCCGGGCCATGAGCCTGGGCCTCGGCCCCAGCCGCCAGCCGCCCTCTCGCTCGCTCCGTAGCGGCGCCGCCGCGCCCGCCTGCCAGCGCCATGGACAAGACCAGCCCCTGCGGCGGCTCAGGCCCCGGATCCTCCTCCGCGATGGGAGGCAAAGGGCAGCAGCCCCGCTCTAACTCCGCCGGCCCGGCCGCGGGGGAGTCCAAGCCCAAAGGGGGTAAGGCCGCGCATCTGGACTAGAGGGACCCCGCGACCCATGCGCCTGGGCAGCTCGAAGCGGGGCGGGCTTCAGCCTCCAGAATTCCTCGGCCGGGTGGGAAATTTGGAGGCAGGGGGGTCTCCCACCTTGGCCGCTTGAAGACTTGTGGACTTCAGCTCCCAGAATTCCTCGGCCAGCTGGAGTCCACGGCCAAGGTTGGAGCCCCCTGTGCTAGAGCGAAGTCCGAGCAGCCGCCGCCGCCGCCGCTTCCGGGGTTGTTCCGACCTGCGGAGCAGGCCCCGGCCACTGCACGAACGCGCGTGAATCTTGTTGACCAACACAACTTCCTGCCCAATGGGTGGACCCTTGTTCTTTAAAGACAGGGCGAAGCACTCTCAAGCCAGGTTGCTGCCAGTCCTGGGTTGCAACTTAGCTTTGTTTCTTGTTAAGAATGGAGCAAGAGGCTGGGAGCAACGCAAGCTTTTTATGAATCTAAATTTCTGCAGGTTTTTTTTTTAAATAAGGTGCAATTTGGGAGGATAAGAGCTGCTTTCCATAAGTGACCTTGGGGAAAGCCTGCTTAGGGACGACTTTTGTAATCAGCAAATATATAAAGTGGAGATAACATGTTGAAAAAGCCTAAGCTAATATGTTTGTGGAATTTGCCATTTGTTTGTCTGATAAAGAAGGGACTCTGGCTGGGTTTCCAAACTTTGTTGTATTTGTTTTTCCTTATTCAGAATGCTTGGGTATTGCAATTAAAAATCCCAACATTTAAACATTCACAGCCTTTAAATGAGATGAAACTAATTGGATAGATGGCATCTGTAAGTCTCCAATAATTTTGGTTGGCAGGGTTGATGATGATCAGTGAAGCATCCTTGTCTCCATTATTCTTGATGCAGTTGTTGTTCTGTGACAAACTGCCAATTGCCTTAGAAGAAGCACTCCTTTGCCCTGGAGACATCATCGTTTTGCAGAGCTAGAAAAACAGACACCCATCAGTTAAGCCTGACTCTCAGTGATTGCCTCCACACCTTTTTCTTGGGAGTGGTATAGAAGTAGTTTGTCAGTATCAGCTGTCAAGGTGTAGTTAAGCTTCAAACTAGAGCAGGGGATTCCAATCTTGGCAACTTTAAGACGCATGGACTTCAACTCCCAGAATTCCTCAGCCAGCAAAGCTTGTTAAGGAATTCTGGGAGTTGAAGCCCACAATTCTTAAAGTTGCCAAGGTTGGAGATCCCTGAACTAATGCCATGTCTGTTTACTTCCAGAAATGACATGGTCAAAGTGGAGGTTTGGCATATTCTGGAGGGAACTAAGACATTCTGGAATATTTGATTCCCATATCAAAAGATTTTGATCATCCCTGCTATAAATAGCAAGGGTGCTATATTTGAAACTGAATCTAGACAGCAGCATCCTCATTTTTGTTACCTTAAAAAGCTAAGCAAGGTTGGCCCCGGATAATTTTTTGGAGACCATAGGAAATGTCAGTGTAGCCTAGAGGAGATTGAAAAAAAACCTTCTTAGAAGGAAGCAGTGGAAACTAACCTGTTCATGAAGTCATCAATTGAACTACATTCAGGGTACCCCTTTATTAAATATTATAGTTCATGTAGAGCTCATTATTTAATTCCTGCTTTCTTCTTGGGCAGGAATATTTTGCTCTGGGTTCAGTGGTAGAAGAAAGTTTGTGAGACCTTGAGAAATGTCCAGTATTGTGACCTATAGTGTGATCTGAGTGTCATTTTAACAGATAGAGGTTCTGGCTAAAAAAACAACACAGAGAATGTGGCTGTTTCATGGCTTTAGTAACGCAATGAGCCAACTTTTCAGTGACCTCACTGGAAAAAGTATGTGAAGTTTTAGATGTGGCAACAGTGGTGCCTCTTTCAGCACCAATGACTTGAAACAAATGTTTTCCTGTATGTACCTGTTGATCATTAGTCGGTCTGTCCCATATTCACCTGGCATTCATCTGTGCAGCAGAGAATCCATTGTTCCATCCGTGATTGAGCTATCTAGAGATCCAAATATTTCTTCTGGCAAGCTTCACATCTGAAATATGGTGGAACAATGTTTTGTGTTCTCCAAGCCTAAGGTTTCTCATTATTATCCAAAAGGACCACTTGAATCTCATTTGTCCTTTGAACGTTGTTCCAGTTGCCTTCTATATCATCCAGGTAGTCTTTGGCAAACTTGAGATGGGCAGTCCAAAGGTGCTTTTTCCAAAAAGCAACTGAACTTTTTTGTTTTTTTCCCCTTTAAAAAAGTTTTCTCATCCAAGAAACTTCTTCAGTTCTGATGGGCAGCAGAGTGTATTTTGCAGTGTAGATCTCGCTCTTATTCAGTATTTTCCTAATTGTAGACACATAGACTGACACCAGGCAGCACAAAAATACCTGCAGTTTCTTTGCCATTATTCTTTGAAACCTCCTGGAGTGCTAAATGTGCTTCATATTTAGTGATTTATTATTGAACAAGTAATAATATTGCATTTTCTTTATTTGTATCCTGTCTGCTTGATGATGGAGGTCAATGACCATGATTCTATGAGTTCTTCTAGCCTCTTGGAAGTCTTTTTTTCTGAGTTAGTCAGACCCAGTTTTGCCTGGAGTGGTATTCATTTCCCCAGAGCAGATTCATGAAGGCAGACTCAAGTGCTAGCAACCATTCTTCGTTTTTAAATGAAGAATGCCACTTAAACTCACACTTGAGTATCATCTCATTGATTTAAACATCTGACTCAGCTGCCTGATGTAATAAAGCCTCCAGTGTTGGAGCATCACCCACAGGCTTCTGAAGGCAAGTCGTTCCACCGGTTAATTTCTCCTTGGTTCTAGGTTGCTTCTCTCCTTGCTTAGTTTCTATCCATTGATTCTCGTCTTCCTTCTGGTGCTTTGGAAAATAGTTTGACACCGCACCCTATCCCTTCTTTGTGGCAGCCTCTCAAATAATTGGAAGACTGCTATCATGTCATCCCTACTCCTCCTTTTCACTAGACAAACCCAATTCCTGCAACCATTCTTCAAATGTTTTAACTTTCAGACCCTTGATCATATTTGTTGCCCTTTTCTGCATTCTTTCCAGAGTCTCTACATTTTTTATATAATATGGTGACCAACGGTGGATGCTATATTCTAATGTGGTCTTACTAAGGCTTCATAAAGTGGTACTAATAGTTCAGGTAATTTTGATTCTATTAATGCAGTCTAGAACTGTGTTGGCTCTTTTGGCTGCTACCACACACTGCTGGCTCATTTTTAAGTGATTGTCCACTTGGACTCCAAGATCCCTTTCACGGTTATTGCTATTGAGCCAGGTTTCATCTAATCTGTACCTGTACATTTGATTTTTCTTGCTTAAGTGCAAAATCTTACTTTTCTCTCCATTAAATTTCATTTTGTTAGATAGGGCCCAGGGTTCAACTCTTTATTCTTCAGCCTATCTTCTGCAGTGTTGGGTATTCCTGCCAACTAACTACTAACTGGGCAGCTATCAAGACTAAATGGACTGTAATTTATCCAAATGGGACTATTCATCCTGACCCAAATACTTGGGAAAACTTCTAAAAGCCTGCAGGATTGGGGTCAATTATATCATGGCCTCCCCGTTTCTTCCTTGGTGCTTTACCCACTGTACCAAACTGCCTTATAGAATATCTGTACTAACATCTCTTAGATCAGGAGTCCCCAAACTTGGCAACTTTAAGACTTATGGACTTCAACTCCCTGGGAGTTGAAGTCCATAAGTCTTGAAGTTGGCAAGTTTGGAGACCTCTGTCTTAGATGAAACTTTTTTGACACTCCAGGTCACAACAATGCAGAATGGTTCTGTAGAATCCATCACTACAGAAGGTGACATTCATTTTGACCAACTATTTTCAACTAGTTGTTCGTTGTACTAACTGGAGGCTCTCTGTAGATAAAAGGTTCAAGTTTAGAAAGTGCTGCTTTTAGCTTATGACAGCCATGTGTGGACATTGATTATGTCTTAATCTGAACAGGCAGCAGTGCACAAATAGCTCGGTGCTGATATTACCTTCACATTCTACAAAGCCTGGGTAGCAATCCTGCAGCGACAGAATTGCCTAGCAGTTATCAAATGATTTGTATTCAAGGACAATTATTAAAATTATATATGACAAATGTTTTACAAAAGAGGCCTTTCTATACAAGAATAAAGTTGCAAAAATTCAGTATAATACAGTACTTACTAAGTTCTGATAATTTCCAGATAATAATTAGCTGTTTTAAAGGGAGAAGCTCCTTGGATCTACAAGTGCTTGCTCTCCTTTTGTGGTAGTATCTGTCATTTGTATATATAACTTTTTCACACATGTAGGAAATCTGTTTCCAACTGAGGGAATTTATATTACAAAATTTTAAATTTTATATCTTAGGGAATTTAAGGTTGCTAATACAGGTAGTTCTCTACTTACAACAGTTCATTTAGTGACTGCTGAAAGTTACAGCATAACTGGAAAAAGAGCCGTGGTCATTTTTCACACTTATGACCACTGCAGCATCCCCATGATCATGTGATCAAAATTTGAATACTTGGCAACTGACTCATATCGGTCGCAGTGTTCCGGGGTCCTGGGATCCCCATTTGGAACCTTCTGACCAGCAAAGTCAATGGGCAAGCCGGATTCACTTAATGGCCGTGCTACTAACTTAACAACTGCAGTGATTCACTTAGCAACTGTGGCAAGAAAGTTCATATAATGAGGCAAAATTCACTTAACTGTTTCACTTATTAACAGAAATTTTGGGCTCAGCCGTGGTCATAAATCGAGAACTACCTGTACCCCCAAGCTCCTAATAGCAGCTTCTTTCTTGAATTACTGTTCTAATTATAACAGAACTTACAATGATGGAAATATATTGCCTGCATTGGATAGTAATCATTGTTACTTTGGATTGTATACAGAATAATTTATTTTATTGAAAAAAGTTTCGTGTGTGTACTAAACTGAATATTGCTGAAGGGAAGTACTTGAGTATACAAACTCAAATTTTAAAAGATCAATGTTTTCCTTATCAGAAGTATTTGAAAAAAAATATATAGGTAAAGCATTTATGTTTACTTGTCCAATTCCCTTGGGGTGATTCAAAGCATTCGAATCATGAAATTAGGCAACTGAGCAAGTAATCCAATGTTAATAAAATGTTGTTGGTCTGGAAAGGGGCTATCGGTCGTTCTGATTTTGGACCACCATTGACTAAGCCGGCTTTCTTCCTAAGTGACTCTGAGGATGAGTACTATTAAGAGTAATCCTTTCCTGTTGTAAGTAAATAGAGTATAATTTATACTAGTGCAATATTTGTTTATGCCAGCACAAGGGTCAGAAAAATATTATAGTTTTTAAGGTCAAAATATCTTCAGTTAGCAAGGTGTTTAAGTAAAGATGTTTGGTTTCTCCCTGAAGTCATGAAAGTTCTGTGTGGTATGTTTCTCTAGATAAGCTTTTGCTTGGGTTACCAATCTGGCTGTCACTTTGGCCCGATATAAGTTACCTGCTCCACTAGGAATTGCTTTTGACTTAATGCTGAACATTATTTTCTTTCATTGTTTATTTTAGAAGGGAAAAATGCAAGTGGATCCAGACAGCGTTATAATCGTAAGAGAGAAACTTCATATCCCAGAAATGAGACCTTCCCCAGCCAGTCCCGTCGCTCCTTTTCACAGAAAAGCAAAGCTTTTAACAAGATGCCCCCTCAGAGGGGGGAGCAGAACAGCGGCAGCAAATCTTTTAGCCTTTCTTCTAATGGTGGAAGACGAGATGAGGTGAGATCTGCCCTTACATGCCCTAATTAAGCAAATATTCTGCCTTATCTCTCTTTTCTGAGACAATAGAAATGCTTGTTTTACTTCTCTCATTAAAAATGTGAAATACAGATTAAAAATAAGAATCTAATTGAACCGAATGGTCTTACCTTTTTTCCCTGGAGGAAAAAAAATCAAACAATAATGCCCTGTCATGAAAAAATAGTTCTGCAAATATGCAAGAGGTTACTATGAATTCTTTGCTTCTAAATGTGGGCATTAACATGTACATTTTTTACTTAGTTCTATAAAATGTGGCAATTAAACATGGCAGGCCTGGGCATTTGCAGGCCACATCTGGCCCTTCGGCTGTCCCTATCCAGCCTGTGGCAGGGGGCGCGTGAAAATTCAGCATTTTCCAGATATATAAACTGGATGTTTAAGACTTTGCCTTATGCCTAGGTGAGCTCATATTCAAGGATAATAGAAGCTCCTTATCAAAAAATGCATCTCATTGAAATGTTACCTCAAATGTTTAATTCTTGAAAGAACCGATTAAAACTGGAGGGTTGACTGTTGATATTGCTTCTATTTGTATATTTTTAAAAATAATAGTAAATAGAAAATCCTTCTTAACCTATACTTTAAGGGCTGTATAAGCAGTTTTCCAGATCATGATCTTTGAAAGCAAAATATATTTAAAAAAGTGTTGATGATAGTATAGAAAATATTGTCAGAGGAAAGTCCAATGTCCTTTTGCATGTGAATCATATGCTATCTGATGTAAAGAGCTACAGGCAAAAATAAGCTCTCGGCTTATAAGGAGAATAAAGCTTTCTTTAGTTTGAGCTCTGTTCCTACATGAGAAAGCTATGATATTTTTTGGCAAAAGTAAAGCTGTAGTTTGCTTTTCCCCTCCTCCAAGAGATTGTTCCTATGTTCTGGCTTAATGTTCATCTTCCTGGTCAAAATAACGGTCTTTGTGTGGCATAGGTTGTGTTTTTTTTTAAATTGCAACTCCTGCAAACTAAATTGTCTGTTTTCTCAGGTAGCAGAAACTCAGCGGGCAGAGTTCAGCCCTGCCCAATACTCTGGCCCTAAGAAGATTAATCTGAACCATTTGTTGAATTTTACATTTGAACCTCGTGGCCACACTAGCCATTTTGATGGGAGCAGCCATGGCACTTGGGGAAAAAGAAACAGATGGGAAAACAAACCTTTCAACAAAGAGCTTTTCCTTCAGGCCAAGTGAGTGTGACCTCCGTCTGGATCATAAATATCTGAGGGAGAATTTAATCACGATGCTGTGCTGTTCCTACCTGTTGCTTTCAGCTGTTGTTTTGTAGTTTTTATTCTCCATATAAACATTTCCTTTGGGTTTATATTTTACATTTGAAGCTGTTTTGGTAATTTGACTCTCATTGAGAGTCTTGAAAAGCATTTAAATTGCTGCTTGTGTTTGAATTCATTCAAAACAAAGAAAAAGGAAAGTATTGGTGATGTGAATTCGAGACCAGTTTTGTCCTTTACAACATAGCTTTATGAAATTGTTAATGCCAAGATCTAAGATATGTTATTTTATTTGTAGAAATGAATAGTGAACGCAGTTCTGGTTAATTGAGAGCACTCCTTGGCAGGTTAAAAAGCAGATACTTTCCAATTTTCTCTCCTTGATAGATTTGACTTCTGAGAGTGCTGAATGTCCTTGGATTACAGTTAGAGTAATGGAAAAGATAAATTGTGTTGTTTTTAAATTGTTGTAGATAATTTTCAGCAGTTACTTAATCTGAATATCTGTCTTCCTGGATCATTTCTATATAATCAGTTTCAGGCGGTTATTATGAGTTTTTAGTTTTAAATCCCTCGTATTTTTTGCAGCTGCCAGTTTGTGGTACGTGATGATCAGGACTACACGGTTCACTTCACTGACCCAGATACCTTGGTCAACTGGGATTTTGTGCAACAAGTGGTTAGTATCCTTCTTCCTCTCTCAAACAACAAGTACTGTGGTCAGCCTAGAATCGGGGTGATGAGAGATTCAGGATAGAAAAGGAAGTCCTTCGCACAGATCATTAGGTAACTTGTGAATTCAAAACTACAGTTCCCTAAAAAAAGCTAGAGAGGAAATTAGCCACCTCATTTTTTTAGCTGATAATGATGTTATATGAAAATATCCTATATACGTGTATGAGTATGTATACATTCACACATACACATATATCTCAAAGGCTTGCCCAATGTCAAATTGACAAATTTCCAGATTTAAAGGAGTCAAATTGCATTCTGCCCGCTTTGTTAGTTAAATGTTTATGTTATTGATACTTTTGGCTCCTGCCAAACGTGAACTCACGAACCAACTCAGGGCTCACAAACCAACTTCCATCTTTCTGCGTGTTGATAATGCAGTCAGCCATGTCCCAGAGAATACTGACAAAGTATTAGGGTCATGCTGTCAAGACAAAAAGCTGGAAATCAGCCATTCCAAACTCTGGGTTACTATTCACAAAGCATCACAATATACAGCTTCTATAGGTGGACAATCAGTGGTAACCAAATTAAGCAGGTCAGGCCTTTTAAATACCTAGGCCAGGGGTATGAAACTCAAAGCCCACAGGGTACTTAGAGCTGGTCTGTAGGGCTGCCCTGGAAATAGCAAAGGACTGGCCTGTAGTGCCTCTGCCAGCAGAAATGGAGCTCCCTCCCAGGCTCCATTTTTGCTGGCCGAGGGCTGCAGGAGGATCCCCCCAGTGGATCCCCCCTGGGGCATCTGTGGTGGTCCCACCCAGACCACCACAGATGCCCTGACAGAAGTGATGTCAAGTTGGCCACTCCCATCCCGGCCATGCCCATCCACCCCCCTGAAATAAAACACAACTGTGATGACCCAAAGGGGCGTGGCACAAAGGCAACACAGTCACATAAGTAAGAAAAGTCCCTTTAGTACCTCCAACTTTGCCCCCAATATCCAAGGTTCCGTCAGCTGGAGAAAAATCTCTCCCAAGAACAGTCTTTAAGTGGAGGAAATTCAGTCCAAAAACAAAGTACATACAAACTGTAACAAAAAATCCAAACAAACCAAGCTGCAGTAATTAACTTGACAGGGCAGGAGAAGGAATTGCAGACTTGAAAGGCCAGCAAAACACACAGTTGGGAAGACACTAGGAATCCAGATAAGCCTCAACAATACCAGATAATTCACGATTTGCTCTCAACAGTTTGCTATGTGCATCTTCCCTTTTCAAACAGGGAAAACAGTGTTTTCAAACAGTGTTCCCAGCTGCAGCTAATGAAGGGAATCAGGGCCCTTTTCTCCCCTGTAAGCCATGCAACTCACGTTGCTCCCTTCTCTGTTCCTCCCTTCATGCCCTAGGATGAAGAAGGTGGGCCTGGGTCTTCCTCTGAATTCCCTCTCCCTTGCTTTAGCTCTCCCCTGCTCAGCCCAGCTGGACTTTGCCCTTCCCCAGTTTCTTCCACAGCCAACAGAGCCACACTCACACTCTCTGTCAGCTGCTTGGCCCCTCCCTCCTAATCAGATTCCGACAGAGGCATGACAACAACCCTGATGTGGTCCTCAATGAAATTGAGTCTGACACCCTGACCTAGGAATTTAATTCTAGTTTTCCACCATGTGCAAAGAGAAAAATTCGGACATCTCAGTTGGAGTACAAAAGTCCAGTATAATCAAACTTTCCAGCTGTAACGGTAGTAATTCTGTCCTGACAGCAATTAAGCAGTTTAAAGCCAACGGAAAGCCTTCTGTGCCAGTGGTGGTATTCAAATAAAGTTGCCACCGGTTCGGTGGGTGTGGCTTGATGGGCGCACTTTGCACGCTGCACACACTTTGCATGCACGCGCATGCCAAACACACACTTTTTGCAGGCTCAGAGGTGTTCTAACTACGTCCAATTCTGGTCATCACAATACAAAGAAGATGCCAAGACTCTAGAAAGAGTGCAGAAAAGGGCAACCAAGGTGATTAGCGGACTGGAAGCCGACTCATTTGATGGCTAGTTAAGGGAACTAGGTATGTGTAGCCTAAGGAGAAGAAGGATTAGGAATAACATGGTAGCCGTCTTCTAATACCTGAAGGACTGTCACAGAGATGAGGGGGTCCATTCATAGCACCTGAAGGCAGGACAAGAAGCAATTGGTGGAAACGCATTAGAGAGGTCTAAGGAGAAGCTCCCTAGTGGTGAGAGCAATTAAACAGTGGGACAGTTTGCCTCCTGAAGTTGTGGGTGTTCTATCACTGGAGGTTTTGAAGAAAAGGTTGAATATCCTACTTAGGACTCCAGCCAGGGGGCTGAGCTAGAAAACATCTAAAGTCCCAGCCTTGTGGTTCTATGTTTCTACCCCATGTAAATTGGTCGTTTCTTATTTCTGAACTAGCCAATCCCTTGCTTAACTTATTGGCCTAAAATCTCTGGGCAGAAAACTTTGTGACAAGAGTCAAGAAGTGGTATTTTAACATGACGTTAACGTGTTCTACAGTGGAATTGGGTTTAGCCTGCTGTAAGCCATGTAGAACTAGAAAGGAAATGGCAGGGGAGCAAATTTAAATTTTTCTGCATGGTCCAAGCGATTGGATAGTGGAAGTGAAAGTCTCAGATGGTGGGGCTGCTTTTCTCTAGAACTTCATATAAAGTTTGGACAGTTGCTTCTCAGGGATGTTGTTGTTACGTTCTCCATTGAAATCCCTAAATTGGGCAGGTGCTGGGATGACAATCCTCAGTGCTACTGGGAGCAGCATGTTTTTTAAAATAACTATAAATCAGACGGGCTTTTGAATAGTAATATCATGTTTAAATATATTCTGCTCTTTAAAGACGAATACCGTTTGAGAGTTCAGTTTTATCAGTGGAATTCTGTTGCACATTTCCAGCGGATTTACAGCCATGAAGTGCCCTCCTGCCCAATCTGCTTATACCCACCCACTGCTGCCAAGATCACTCACTGCGGGCACATCTTCTGCTGGGCCTGCATCCTGCACTACCTCTCCCTGAGTGAGAAGACCTGGAGTAAGTGCCCCATCTGCTACGGCTCGATTCACAAGAAGGACCTCAAAAGGTACAGAGATTCCCTGAGTGGCGCGTCCTTTTCCTCCTGTACCAAGTCAGTTGTCATTGATCGCTTGTCTTCTCCCCCCACCCCCCGCTCCCCCTTTTGCAGTGTTGTGGCTCTGGAAACCCGTCAGTATGCAATTGGCGATACAATTACAATGCAGCTCATGCAGCGGAAGAAAGGAGCCCTGATGGCCCTGCCAAAGTCCGCCCTCGCCCGTGTGGAGCAGCCCATTCACCTGGGGGGTAAGTGTAACTGGCCTTCGGAAGCTGTGGGGGCTCCATCCTTGGAGGTTTTTAAGGAAGGACTGGACAGCCACCTGCCTGAAGGGGTAGAGGGTCTCCTGCTTGAGCAAGGGATCGGACTAGAGGACCTCCAAGGTCCCTTCCAGCTCCACTCGGATTAGGAGGCTAAAATATACGAACAACAGTTACAGGAATTGGGTACATCTAGTCTAATGGAAAGAAGGATTAGGGATGACACGATAGCAGTGTTCCAGTATCTGAGGGGCTCCTACAAAGATGTGAGGGGCGGGGGTCAACCTATTCTCCAAAGCCCCTGAAGGCAGGACAAGAAACAAGGGATGGAAACTAATCAAGGAGAGAAACAGCCCGGAACTAAGGAGGAATTTCTTAATGGTCAACTCTTTCAAAAAGAGACTGGACAACCTCTTGTCTGAAACGGTCTAGGGTTCCCTGCTCAAGCAGGGGGTTGGACTGGAAGGCCTCTGAGGTCCCTTCCAACTCTTATTATTGTTTTTCTATGTTGAGGATACAAGTATCCTGTGAATTGGGATTGCTTTGAGTTTTGCAAACCTGAGCTGTGTGCAGAATGAAGCCCAATTGCTTCCAGAGTTACTGTATCTCATGAAAGGGATAGCTCTAATGCCATTAAGAACTGTTGCTCTACAGTGGGTCAGTCTCTACACTACTGAAAATCAATCCCTGCTCTCTCAAGGCATCACACAAACTCTCATTGGACAAGCCGGAAGGTGGCATAGGTTCGCCATCACGGATCTAGTCCATCCCAATGAGATGAGGTAATGTTTCTTGTTTCTTCATTCAGATAAGCGGCACAGCCAGTATTCAAAGCTGCTTCTGGCCTCTGAGGCTCAGGTCCTCCAGCAAGTAATCTTGGAGGAGAAGATGGCCCTTGTGCATCAGTATGAGGAGGAAAAACATACACCTGAAGCATGTTTCATTGAAGCAGCCCTGCAGGAACTGAAGGTGGAGAACCCTCTAGACTTTGGAGGTTATGTGTGGAGAGGGATGGAAATCAGTGTGGGTGTAGAGTGGCAGTTGTTGGCTTGGAACACTTTTTGTACATGTTTTGATGTTGTCTGGTTTTTTTTTAAAGAAACTAGCCTGTATATTTCTATTTTGCACAGTGTGGTTTATTTTACAAGGATTGGGATGACCTGAGATAAACCACCTTTGGTTCTCTTGCCTGGTCATGATATTTGACTGGGTTACTCCAATCTGCCTCACAATATGATGGTTCTAAAAATAAAAATTAGGAATGACCCTGTATGATTTTAAGTATTAGAAAGAAGGAACATATAGACAATGAAGATGAATAAAAGCATCATCACTGAGAGTGTGTACAAGTAGTCATCAATTTACAACAGTTCATTTAGTGACTGTTCAAAGTTACAACGGCGCTGAAAAAAAATGACTGATGAGCATTTTTTCACAGTTACAACCTTTCCAGCAGCCCCATGGTCATGTGATCAAAATTTGGTTGCTTGGTAACTGACTCATACTTATGACCATTGCTGTGTCCCAGGGCCACATAATCTCCTTTTGCAACCTTCTGACGAGCAAAGTCAATGGGGAGGCCAGATTCACTTAACAACTGTGTCACTAATTGATCAAGTGCAGTGATTCACTTAACAACCGAGGTAAGAAAGTCGTAAAATGGGGCTGTCTCACTTAGCAACATAAATTTTGGGCTCCATTGTGGTCCTAAATTGAGGACTATCTGTATTATCATCTACCAACCTAAGGTGCTGTTGATGAAGCTTTCCAGAAGCCGTTTGCAGATCTGGCCAAGAGGCCCAGGGGGGACTTTGATTAATTCACTGGGAAACAATTGCCAGGAGGGAATTCCTGACTTTCCTCACGGGCAACTTTTGCCTTCAGTGAATAGAGGACCAGCAAAGTGAAATAGGAAAGTGAATCCAGAAAGTGGAAGAAGGAGCAGCAATGTTAAGAGAAAGTCATGTGGAATGCTGGATTTATTTGGTAGGGCGTAAATCCGAAACCTTAGGAATTCGGATTTGAGTTAACATATAAAGCAAAGCTGAGTTGGATTCCTTCATAGATTCCTTCAGAATCTAATGAGTAAAATTACTGAAAACCAAAAGGGAGTTTGTGAAAAAGAATATATGGAAAGAACAGTTATGAGTCATTTCCGGAAAGAAAAAAAAGAAGATAGCAGGAGCAACTGTTGTAGGTTATTTATTTAGCATAAAGTATGTCATATTATTCTAGGTGCGCAAAAGTTACTGAAATTCAAAAAGCTGGAAGATCGCTAAGGAAGAGCAAACTAGATTTGATATCAGGAAAGCTGAACCTAAGAATGAACCCAAAAGAGGCTATGCAGTTCATAGAACAACTGTTGATGCAAGTTGGAAATCCTTGTAACTAGTTCGTGTTTGTTTATTCAAAATACATGACAGGACGGGGGGTCCAAAGAATAGAAAGCATTCTGTAAAATATCAAGATTTCAGCATGTTGGCAAGAAAAAGTTATTGATATTTTTCTGATAGTCCCAAAGGTGCTTTTTCGGGAGGCAACTGGACTTCCTTGTTTTTTTCTTTGGAGATGTTTTGCTTCTCATCCAAGAAGCTTCTTCAGCTCTAACTGGGTGATGGGGAATGGAAGGATTTATACCGGGATGACTGAGAATCTCCATAAACTTTGGGATGAGCATCCTTTGAATTGTGAAGTAGGAATGGACTTCCAGAAAACACAGCAGACTACGGGAATCATTTGCACTTCAGTTTGAGACGTGGACCACACAGCCTCTTCCCCAACAGCCTGTGCACCTGCCTTCCAACAGGGAAGGGACACAAGGCAGAAAACATCCTGCAGCCAAGAAGGCTCCACACCCATTTGCACCACTCAGGTGACCCTGAGGACACAGGTAAACTTCCAAGTGGCCTCAACGACTCTCTAAAAAGATGCAAATGACCAGCTGTCTGCAAGGAGTATATACCCTTCCATTCCCCACCATCCAGTCAGAGCTGAAGAAGCTTCTTGGATGAGAAGCGAAACGTATTCAGAGAAAAATCAGAAAGTCCAGTTTCCTCCTGAAAAAGCAACATTGGGACAACCATGACCTGGATGAGTGAGAATCTCCATAGACTTTTACTTTTCTGATAATTTGCACATTGCAAGACCACATTCCTAACTCAGTAAATACAAAAATTAGACTAGGTTTACATTATTATATGGTTCTAAAGTCACATAACTGGTTTTCCTCCCAGGATCGTGAAGGCCACTTGATGTCTGACGGTGATGTTCCTGGTGTCACTGCAGCTGTGGAAAAACTACTCCTAACAGAAACTCCTGAGAAAGAAACCGTGGCAGTACCACAGGAGGAAAAGGTGAGTGCTCTTAAATCGCCTTTCATCCATCTTCAGAAGGAGGCCAGAGGAATTGGGTGAATTGGGACCAGACCAGCTTTCTCTGGCCTTGCATGTGAGATAACAACTCTTGAAGTTGATTCCACCCACTTCTGGATGCTGCATTTTGAAAGATTACTGAGAATCGGCATGGAAGTATTCATGGTGAAGAAACTAGAGCGTGTCACGAAAAGAGCAACCGAGACATAATGAGCCTGGCCGATGGAGGGAAATTCTGGCAGCTGCAGTTGCGTCTTGAGATGGGGGCCAAGTTTGTGATCACCAAATTAGATGCTTTCCTGTAAATATCTGCTGCTTCCATTTCGTGGCCAAACATTGGAGAGTTCCCTGCTCACAAGGAAGTGTTTTTTTTTTAAAAAAAAACATGGGTGGATGACCCTTCCTGCCTAAAGGCCTCCTGCTCTTTCGATTAGTGCTGAGCAGCCCATGAGGAGGAGGAAGATGCCTTCGGAGGCGTCTCCAATATCGTCTTCTCGGCTTCTTGGTGGGTGGCCTGAGTGCAGTGGTGTGGAGAGCAGCAGGAAGTGAGGGACCCAGGCTCTTTGTCCACCCAGAGATTCCCTGAGGACACTTTGTCTTCCGAGGCTGCCCATTTTGCAAGGAGTTTCTACCTAGTTTTAAAGACAAATTTGGTCGTTGTTCTGGAGTATGATTCTCCAGTTTTCTCTTCCCGGCCATAGTTTCCCTTCCTTGTCTTTGTGCTGGCCTCACCTTGAGCCTACAGAGGGAAGGAAAGAAGAAATTAAGTGGCAAAAGACCAGTGGGTGCTAACTGGTTTTTTTTATTGCTGCAGTGCATTCTAGAATATACTTCTGCTTTCAATGATGAACTGCTGGCATCTCCTCCTGCGGCTCCTGCGAGTGGAGATCCCCCTGCTTCGGAACATGCAGAGGCGGCGGCAGATAACAGCGTGGAGAGGAACATGGACCCCGCAAGCGCAAGTGAAGGAGGGGAAGCCAATTGGAGTGCATCTGCCTCTGGAAAACCCAAGGCTGCGTTTGCCAGCAGACACACCCAGAGTTCTCCTTCCTATTACTTCTACCAAGGTCAGCAAAGGAAATTCTGGTCCCAGTCATGGTTATAAGTCAAGAACTCCCTGCTATCACTCTGCTTAAATCCTGTCTCACCCTGAGGGGCTGTTCTAACTTCCTAGCTTTAAAATAACCGCCCTACAACTTCTTTTCTGATGCTGCAGCTGAAGACGGGCAGTGCCTGTATCTGCACCCAGTGAACGTCCGTTGCCTCGTGCATGAATATGGGAGCCTTGAGAAGAGTCCAGAGAGGATCACAGCTACCGTGGTGGAGATATCCGGCCACTCCATGACGGAGGTAACAAGGGGGTGACCATTCATAGCCTCCTGGATGATGGGCATTAAAGCTCTCGTCTGCTAGGAGAGGTTTCCAGTTCAGTCCTTGCTCAAACGCTTTCCGGGAGTCTCTTAGGGTTGCCTGTTTTGTCTGCTGGCAGTCGGAAGGGTGGAGTTGCGGGGAGAAGAATTGGGGTCCATTTCTCTTCCCTAAACCCCAACTCCCGTCTGCAGGACGTGCGTCAGCGTCATCGTTACCTCTGCCATTTGCCCCTCACCTGCGAGTTCAGTACCTGCGAATTAGCTTTGAAGCCTCCCGTCATTTCGAAGGAAACCCTGCAGATGTTTTCAGGTGAGATCAGAAAAGTGGGTCTCTGGGAGTTATGCCTTCTGTTATAAAAAAGAGTTTCAAGAAAAAGTTAATCGTCTTCTTTAGCAGGTGGTGGTGCCTGAAAAACCTTGCCGGAGCTCAGAATTGAGCCACGCTTAGTTTTTAGTTGGAAGACCACTAAGAATGCTGTAGCTGGAGGCTGTTCTGGGTCAGGAGAGAAGAGGCACAGGTGCTTCCCTCTTGTTCCCTAAGAAAACTTGATGGACGTGGCCACGAAATCCTCAGGGACAGAGTCAGCAACTATAGTCAACAGCTTTACTTTCAAGTTCCAACTTGCATTACCCGCAAGAAAGACTACCTAAAAAACAGCTTCGACAAAAAGTATCCTCATTTTTAAATTAAACCAGTGAGGAAAAACGAATGTTCTGTTTAGAAAAATCTAGTATTTGAGATTTCGATTGAAACAAGAAAGGCAGTTAATGGAAGTGTTGAATTTGGAAACAAGAGATTGGTCTCAGGATTCTGGCAGTTACCCCCATTTAAATCATGAGTCTCAAGCCAAACTTCCAAAACTTCAAAAGGATTTGTTGGGAATTAACATGTCCGGCACTGCCTGGGTGTAGCCGTCTCTGAGGCACATTGTTGTTCACTGTCACCCTTGACCCTGGTTTCCCCCCCCCCCCCCGGGTGTATTGTAATTCGTATCCATAGCCAAGAGTCATTAATCATGCTCTCCAGTTAGAATTTTGCCCGGCAGAAACTTCGGTCACCTAGTTACTATCTTTGAAAACATTTATGGAATGCACTTTTGGTTGCAAGCTGTTGCACTGCTCCGCCCTCCCTTTCTGTTGGCAACTCTAAAAAGATCATAGGGATATTTAATGAGTTGACAATTGGATCCATGATGATGAATGGCTTTGGTAGTCAATGAAAGCTGAAGTCTGAGTACTGGATTGGGCATATGAGGGATGGTGGAGAGGAGCTGCCATCCAATTCCCCGTGAAAGGTTGGCACAGCAGAGATTTGGTTGCCTGCAGTAGCCCATCTCACCAAGGCTCTCTTTCAACTTAGATGACATTGAGAAACGAAAGCGGCTCAGACAAAAGAAAGCACGCGATGAACGGCGGCGGGAACGCAGAATTGAGATGGAGGAAAACAAGAAGCAGGGCAAATGTGAGTGGCACTCCTGGGCACAACTCATCTGTGTGTCTTTTATCCCCTAGTATGCAGGCATAGCAAGTCATTCAGTGTCGTGCTGAGGGCAGCCAGCTACCTCCTGTTCTAATCCTGCCTTGGGCCCAAAGCCAACTGTCTAGGCCAGGGGTTCCCAAACGTGGCAACTTTAAGACTTGTGGACTTCAACCCCAGAATTCTCCAGCCAGTAAGTCTTAAAGTTGCCAAGTTTGGGGACCCCTGGTCTAGGCACATTCTCTCCGCCCTGGGAAAAAGACAACAGGAAGCCACTTCTGAAAAACCTTGCCATGGAAACTACAGGGACTTGTACAGGCAGCCTCTGAGAACCAGACACAATTGAATGGAAGGCGGAAAGGTGCAGGTCTAGGCCTATTTTGGCAGGGATGGGAAGCAAAGCCCGTATTAAGGATCATTGGCACCATACTTGGGCAAAGTTTGCTGCAGGGAAGCTGCAGTGCTGTGGAAGTCATTTCTCTTGGGAAGAAAAGGAAGCTGCCTGGCTTCAGTTGACCAGGGTACCTGAAGAGAAAACTCTTTAGAGTTTGTTATGGTAGGAGAACTTCTGCTTTTACCTCTAGATCCAGAGGTCCGGATTGCCTTGGAGAACCTGCAGCAGTTTCCGGCCTTCAGCGCTTGCTCAGGAGAACTTGCTGGCCCTGAGAACCAGAGCCACCTGCTACCGCCTCGTGTTGGGGGAAGTCCCACTTCTCAGTCAGGTAAGCAACCAAAGCAATTTCAGCCATCAGCAGCATCTTCTAAAGCAGCATTTCTTGACCGTGGCAACTTTAAGGATGGGCGGACTTCAGCTTCCAGAATTCCCCAGCCAGCATGCTGGGAGTTGAAGTCCACACATCTTAAACTTTGCCATGGTTGAGAAATACTTCTGTAAAGGCTTATTTAATTCTGTTTCCTCCACCAGTCAGTGGCAACGCTTAACATTTGCGTAATAACTAAGTCAGTCCAAGGGGACAGTAATGCAGCTGCAGGCCTGCCAGATGCTTTCAAAGGCAAAGCAGCAGCAGACATTTACAAGCTGAAGCCTCTAAGAGGACTGGAAATCAATTGCAGGGTGCCCATGTGTGAAAAACCAGGAGGGTTAAAATAGTAATGAAAGTGGAATTTGGGGAGTACAGTATCAGAAGTCTGTAGCTTATATTCCCTGCCTCTTTAGTAACAAGTCTTCATTCTTCAACGTTTGCCTTTTTTTGTGTCTTCCAGAGTCCTTGTTGACTCCACTGTCATCTTCCAGCCTTGGCAGTCCCCCATGCCTTGTTGGAAGTCTGGAGGAGGATTCTGCCTTCCCCTCGTTTGCCCAGGTGCGTGAGTGTGGCTGCTTGCAAGACCTTCTCATTTTAAGGAGAGCAAAAGTTGAGGCTGAATGCCGAGTAAATCTTGAATTGTAGAAATGGCAGTTCCCTTTCTCGTTTATCTCAAGCAGCTTTATTGGTAGTCAGATGATCCAGCTTGATTCTCAAATCAATAAAAATCGGCCTGTGAGGTGAATACTGGGGTTTCTGAGTCCATCTTGCATCTTTTCAGATGCTGAGGGCTGGAAAAGCCAAACCAGAAGTATGGAACAGTTCTCAGCCAAAGAAGAAAGGTAAGCAGGATGATTCCGTTGGCCGAAGCCTTTGTGTGGGTCCTTGGGGCTCTCTGAGGTTGATGGGTTTGCCCGCAGACGTTTCATCACCTAACTAGGTGAGGGAGCTGCTGTTTATATCCAGCAGTTTTCTAAAGTAGTCCTTTCTGAATAATTGTGCAGTGATGATCACGTTTGAAATGGCCAACAACAATGATGAAATGCAAAAAACAAAGTGAGCCCTTGTCGATAAAATTTAAAGTAAAGTGAATCAAGACAAGTCATGAACCACCACGAAAATATTCAAGAGTTGTAAATTTTATTAACACCCGAGGAACCTGGAAGGCCAAAGGCCTCATCCCTGACAAAGGGGGAGCCACTAAAGGAGAGTTTTATAGTCAATATTCCATCCTGAGGCCTGTTTAGCCTTTCCAGGAATCTCAAAGCAACATTTTTCAGAGGAGGCCCCCACTGTGGCGCCTCTGGTTCCAGGAGACAGCGATGCGGAGAGCGATAACTCGGACCGTGTGCCTGTGCCCAGTTTCCAGAACTCCTTCAGCAAAGCTATTGAGGCAGCCTTCCTCAAACTGGACAAACCATCCACTTCTGACCACCTATTAGGTAAGTCCAAGGAAAGGACATTCGCCCTCAATGCTGGGCAGAAGTGCAGGGGCAACTGGGCTACTTGTTCCTCTAGCCACCCCGGGACGTTTGTCCCACTGGGGTCATACCCAGCTGAACACAGGTAGTCCTTAACTTAGTTCCACAATTGAGCCCAGAATCTCTGTTGCAGAGTGAGACTTTCGTTGAGTGAATTTTGCTCCGTTTTCTTGCCCCATTTATTAAAGCGAATCCCTGCAGGTGTTAAGTTAGTAACGGGGTTGTTAAGGGAATCTGGCTTCCCCATTGACTCTGCTGGGCAGAAGGTCACATGGGGGAATCACCTGACTCCAAGACGTAAGTATGAATCAATTGCCAAATGGCTGGATTTTGACCACATGACCCCAGGGCAGTGGTGGCTAACCTTTTTGGGCTCCTGTGCCAAAAATTGTGCGTGCGCTTGTATGCTCCCACTTGCATGCCAGCACCCAGAAGGCAATGCGCACCCGCCACGCCCTCTGCGCATGCACGCATATTCCCCATTCGTCCACCCACCCCTGCCGCCCCGTTACCTGCACTGCGCCTCACAGCTGATTTTCGTCCTCCCAAAGGCTTGAGGAAGGCTTTTGTGCAGGCTCCTGCAGGCCGAAAACTAGCCCCATTTTGGAAAAACAAGAAGTGATGAAATAGGGCTAGTTTTCGGCCTGCAAAAGCATGCAGAAGCCTTCCTCAAGCCTTTGAGAGGCCGAAAAAGGCCTCAAACTGGCCGAAAATCAGCTGTGAGGCACGCACATGCGCAGTGAGGTAAGTTTGCCTTCAGCTCGCATGCCGGCACAAATGGCTCTGCGTGCCACCTGTAGCAGGCGTGCCATAAGTTCGCCCATCACGGACCCAGGGGATGCTGAAATGGTCGTGAGTGTGAAGAATAGTCATAAGTCACTTTTTAGTGCCATTGTAACTTTGAACGCTCACTAAATGAACTACTGTAAGTCGAGGACTAGCTGTACAGTGTACACGACCCAGATTCTAGGACGGCGTGACAATGCCAGCTTGCACTAGTCTCGGTGAGATCATAAGTTGTAAGCTGCCTTGGGCTGCATAATAAATAATAAACAAATAAGGTTGCCAGGAAAGAATATTTAGCCAACTCTAAATGTCTGCTGGCAAGAGCAGATCCTAGACCAGGGGGGTCAAACCTTGATTTCATTGAGGGACACATCAGGGTTTTCTTTGACCTCGGAGAGCCGGGGGGGGGCATGGTCATGGTGGGGGCGGCCGGGGGGGGGGGGGGGGCGTGATATGGGACTTGTGTCTGGGGGCGGGGGCAGCTGTGGTAGCCAAGTGCTAAGGCAGGACTCCCCTGAGACCCTCATTCGTTATAATCCTTCCTTCCTTCCTTCCTTCCTTCCTTCCTTCCTTCCTTCCTTCCTTCCTTCCTTCCTTCCTTCCTTCCTTCCTTCCTTCCTTCCTTCCTTCCCTTTTTCTTTGTCTTTCCCTTTCTCCTTTCCTGCCCCTTCTTGCATGCTCAAATGCAAAAGGGGAAACATTTCTCCTTTTCTTTTTAGTTTTGAAAACAGGGCACGGGGGGGGGGGGGGGGGGCTGCATGTGCACACACACACACAGCGCCCTGTTTTGGCTGGTAGAGGCACCCTGGGCCAGTCCTTTGCTGATTTCAGGCCGGTCCCGCAGGCCAGATCTAAGAACCCTGCAGGGTAGATCTGGCCCAGGGCCTTGAGTTTGACACCTCCGTCCTAGAGGTACCATCCTCAACAACAGGCGGGCTGTACTTTCTGGCAAAGTAGAACTGGGACCATTAGGCCACATCTGCAGTGGGCAGGTATCACAGGAGTTGCAGCTGGTTTGCCTGGGAACGTTTGCTGGGAGATGGGCGGGGAGGGGCAGGGAGAAGGCTTGAGGGGAGACCCCTCCTCGGTCAGGCCTCTCACCGGCCGCTCCAAGGAAGGCTGCTGTTTCGAAAGGCTGTTTCTTCTTTTGCAGAGGAGAAACGGGGCAAGAAGAAGAAGCAGAAGCAGAAGCTGCTCTTCAGCACCTCCGTGGTTCACACCAAGTGATTTGATCGGCGGGCAGATCGCTCCCCCCCACCTTCCCATCTATTGGGTTCGCTTTTGTGTTTTTGCTGCTGTAGATAAATTATTTTAGTCCAGACATGATCTGTTTCCGGGAAGCAGGGAGGGCTAGGGTTGATTAAAAATGGGCATAGGTGGTTTGTTTGCTTGTTGATACCAAACCGGAGGATTGCAACACACACACACACACACACACACACACACACCCTCGGCCAACAGGATTTGTGCTTTGCCAGGCGGACTCTTGTTTACTTGGCTTGCCATTGGGCTGTAGAAGGACAACATCTGGGTGGAGGGTGCACAGCTGCTTTGCCATTCGGGGGACAGATTGAATGCAATCGGCCTGAGGCTGCAGTGAGCTAAGCGCAACCAGGGGGCTGTTGCTCACACTGTGGACATAGGGAAGACATCAGCCAGTAGAGACCTAGAGACACACACCGATGGCTGTGCCCACTTAATTAGCACATGAATGAGCCATAGGTTGTGGTGCACGTAACTCAGTTCCTCCCTCCTGAGGGCTATTGTCTTTCTGCGAAGACCAGGGTTTGCAGAAGTCCTGTTGGAAGAAACCTACCAGGGTCAAATCCATGTGCAGGGACTGCTTTGGGGGCGAAGGGGCTAATTCCTGGGGGAAGGGAGGAATGGGGAGCAGAATTCCCCTTTGCACAGAAGGGGCAGCCCAGAGGAGCCCGGCATTTGTTGGATTGCCCTAGATATCAGTTGGGCAGGAGGATGTGGGTGTGTTCTTTTCCCACTGTTGTTTCTTCTGTTTGAGAAATCTCTCATTCTGCACTGCTTTTGGCTTGATCTGAAATTAATTAGTACTGAAGTGTTATTTCCATTGACTACAATGAAGTTTGGTGTAATATACCAACAAAGGTAAATAGTTGCAATAAACCATATGCACAACAATTGGTATTTCTGCAGGGTTTTTTTCCCCCCAATTCTATTTTTGATTGAGTTACTCTCATTTGGAATCAACTTGCTTCGTTATGAACAGTCATTACCGACGTCAAAAGCATCTAGCTGAGCTTCGTTGTTACTCCACTGCAGACCAAACCAGCAACACATCATGCGGTAACTTCAAATTAACAAACCAATGATCTGTATAATCACTTCATTTTAATACATGCACGAAATAGCCTTTCTTATGTCATCCCTGAAATTCCTCCCTAAGCAGAATATTCCTTCAGTATACAGTGGGCTTGTAGAAACTTCCTGACCGCAATTGGGGCCAGAAGTTCAGTCACTAAGCAATATGGTTGTTAAGTGAGTCATCAGGTGACTGGATCCAATTGTATAACCAGTTTTACCATGGTTATTAAGCGAAAACCCCGCCTCCTCTCAACGTGTATCTTTCTCCCTTCCTATCTGTCAATTTTTAAATCAGTTTTAGTGTTAATATTGTTTTAATGTTTTGTCTTGTTTTTATGGCTTGTAAGCTGTCTAGAGTCACCTGGATGAGATGGGCAGCATAGAGGTTTAATAAATAATGACCGCAATTGTTAAGCGAGTCACAGCATTGAGTCATGCATTTAATTAAATCTTGCTTCCTCAATTAACTTTGCTCGTCAGAAGGCAACTGGGAAGGTCTCAGGTCAGGATCTTGTGACTGAGACTGTAACCATCATGAGTGAGTTGGCTGCCAAGCACCCAGCTTGTGATCACATGACTACGGAGGTCATACGGTTGTAACTTTAAGGATGGATCATACGTCGCTTTTTCTAGGAGGGATGTAAGTTTAAACCATTATCAAATGAATGGTTATAAGTAGAGGGCTACCTGTAGATGCTGCTTTGTCTTCAAATATACACACTACACTACAGTGGACAGACTAACTAGTAGGATGCCTAATGGCCTTCTGCGTGCTAAATTCAAGATTTACCGACAATCGGAACAGAGCTGGAAGATACTTGGAGGTCTTCTAGTCCAGCCCTCTGCTCAAGCAGGAGACCCTAGCCTAGACCATTTCAGACAAGTGACTGTCCAGTCTCTTTTTTAAAAACCTCCAGTGATGGAAGCACCCACAACTTCTGAAGTCATGCCACTGGTTTATAGTCCACAATATTTTTCTATAACAGGCCGTGCCCAAACAAGCTGCACTCATTTACAAAAACTTAAGACAGTAGTTGCTTTTCAGTACTAAATAAATCTGCAGCAACTCAAAAGACATTGCACTGCAGTTGATAACTATCAAAAATACTACAGGTCTTCAGCCTTTGTAGTATGGCATGGTCAGGCCTGCATGGAATTGTATTACAACTGCACACAAAAGGATGTGGTAGCAGTATGTCTCACTTCTGTATTGTAAAACCCTGGAAATGGAAGGCTGAGGTCACTCCGTTGAACATCCCTAATGATGTTTTTCTGGTGATCATCATCTACCTGTGATCCCAACATACTGTTCATGTCTAACACTTAGGAACATGAGGACAGGCCTTGATATGCTTTCCAAGTGCTACTGCATCTGTCTCTTAGAGAGTCAGAATTTTACTTCCCTTGAAAAGCACAGCTTATTTGCAGTGGCATATTTCATATTTTAAGTTTCCTGTAGTTATGCCCTTTTAACAACAGCAGAGTATTTTTGTACTGCACTCAGGATGGCTAAGTTATTCTGGAAAGTTTCCTTTGAAACTCAGAAGAGCAAAATTAAAGGTAGAATTGAAACACTGGTTCAAGTATCAGTCATGTATTACTCAAGTAGAGTAAACAAACTGAAGAAAGGAATTGTTTATCTGATGGATGGATGATATACATTTGAATTCCATCTAATCCTCAGAGTCTGGATAGTTCACTTCAAAAAAATCCCCATGAAAATAACACTCATTTTTAATACTCCTAAAGTTTTTATTTTTTTATTTCATTGTTTAGCCCCTTAGAACTGTATTATACGAAGAATTATGGTCTTCATTCATAGTATGCCCTCAAAATAATAAACACAACTACAGTATAAAATTGTCAGAATGGTGTAACAAAAAAAAATGTATAGAATGTGCATCTTCTGAATTCAGACCTTGTTAACTGTTGCTTGTTCCATCCCAAACAAGCATTATTTGGGCTTGCTACTGCTTGTCAATCACTGGGGTAGCGTTTTGCTGCTCCTATCCGAGGAGGAGGGGCACCATTTTGCCTGCTCCGTGGGCTGCTGGGTGCTGCCAACCATGGCTATTTGCTGCCCAGACTGCTTACCTTTGCAGTACTTGCTAACTGCGCTCTGCAAAACCCCCGTTGGGCTGCCTGTGTGCATTCATGGTCTTAAGTTTTCCAGCAAATACACTAAATCCATGCTTAGAAAACAGCCTCCAGTTCACTCCTCTGGAAGTAACCCTTCTGCACTGAGGAGGCAGAAGGTTGACGCCATCATGCCGCACCATATATTTCACCCAGCGTCCAGCCCTTGTGATTTTCCTATAGATCAAAAGCTTCCCTCCCCTCCGCCCTTCAGCAAACGGAAGCAGAGACCTGTGGGGGGGCAGACTGGTACAATACACATAGCTTCAGCTAGTTTTATAAACACAGATGTGTAAAACTGGAGAAAATATATATTTTTATATGTGTGTGTGTGTGTGTATATGTATATGTGCATATATGTATATATACTGAGGTTTTCGTGGGTATTTGTATGTGGATCTTTGGTTATTCGGGTTTTCTCCCACGTAAAATTGGAAGTATATTGGCAACGTTCCGACGAAATCTCATTCGTCATCTTCAGGCTTGTGCTTCTCGGAGTAATGTGAGCTGGCAGCTGCTTCTTCCTTTTAACTGCTAGTGGGGGTGTGACTTGATTGGGTGGGGGCTTGGCTGTGTTCTGATTGGCTGGGGGTGTGTTCTGTTCAGGTGGGGGCTTGGTTGTGCTCAGGTTAGTCTTAGTTGCCAGGGGATTTGAGCTGGTGAGCTGTGATCCTGTTGTTTGGCTTCGCATTCGTGGTCGTGCCACATCTTCATGGTGGGCGTCGGTTCGCTTCATGTATGGGTCAGAGGGGTTTGAAGCGGGTAGTGATGCAGCTGCGGTACAGCTTCTGGTCGTGTCTGATCTGTGTGGGTGTGAGTCTGCTTTCTACGTGGAAGTGTGGTGGTAGCATCTTGTGTGGCCCTCGTGGGTGTGGGTCTGGTGTCATTCTTCATGTTAGGTACTCGTTTGTTAATGAGGGCGGGTTTCCAAATAGCTGGTAGGTGGGAGGCATCTCGTTTATTCATGCTGTGTGGGCGTTTTTCTGTCTCTATGGCTTCTCTGATTATTCTGTTGTTGCAGTGTTAGGTTTTGGTGATAATTCTGGCATTTTTAAAACCAATCTCATATCCTGTAGCTTTGAGGTGCTGGACCAGGGAAGAGGTCGGTTCTTCTTTTTTGATTCTTCTTGTGTTCTTCAATGCGTGCACTTATTCTTCTGTTGGTTTGTCCGATGTATGTGGTGGGGCAGGCGGTGCAAGGGATTTCGTATACTCCTTGGTTTTCTAACTCAATTTTGTCTTTAGGGTTTCTTAGGATGGTGGATATTTTTCTCTTTGTGCAGAATGTTGTCTTAATGTTGTGTTTTTGGAGGATCTTGCTGATTTTGTCTGTAGTGCCTTTTATATATGGGAGGAGGGCTTTGCTGTTCTCTTGTTCTCTGTCTTGGATTTTGGTTGGGGTTTCTTTTTGGATTAGGTGGGTAATCTTCTTTCTTTGGAATCCATTGGCTGTTAGTACGTTAGTGAGAGTGTGTAGTTCGGTTTTTAGGTGTTATTCATCGGCTAAGCATTTTGTTCTGGAGATGAGTGTCTCGGCTACGGAATTGATCTGCTGGGTGGTGGTGTGAGAGTGCGTGTAGATAGAAGTTTGTATGTGTTTTCTTCTGGTAGATGGTGTGTCCTAGGGAGCCATTGGATTTTTTGTATACTAAGACATCTAGGAAGGGAAGTTGATTGTTAGCTTCTGTTTCCATGGCGAATTGTATTTTGGGGTGTAGGCTGTTGAGGTGTGTGAGGAAGTTGTTCAGTTTTTCTTTCCCGTGTGGCCAGATTATGAAGGTGTCATCTACGTATCTGAGCCAGAGTTTGTGATCATATTTTTCTAGAGCTTGTGTTTCAAAGTGTTCCATGTAGAGGTTTGCGATGACAGGTGAGAGGGGTGATGCCATGGGTGCTCCTTCTATTTGTTTGTATTTTTGTCCGTTGTAAGTGAAGTATGTATTGGATAGGCAGTGGTTGGTCAGATCTAGGATGTGCTTGCGGGGGTTGTATTTGTTTTGGATGGCTGTCAAGGGTGAAGAGGGATATGACATCGAAGCTCACTAGTAGGTCACTGGGCTGTAAGTTCTGTTTCTTTATGATCTCAATGAACTGGAATGAGTTTCTTACGTGTGAGTTGATCGAAGATGACGAATGAGACTTCGTTGAAACATCGCCTAAATACTTCCAATTTTATGCGGGAGAAAACCCAAATAACCAAAGATCCATATAAAAATATATATAAATATAAATTAAATATAAAAAATGGAGAAAAGGTGCTGGTCCTTGCCCGTGAGAGGCACTCCTTGACTAAGCATTTCAGGGGTGATGTAATTCAGTCCATCTCGTTCTCTTCATCTTCACCCTGGAATCGCTCCACTCCCACAAACACAGCTCTGGACCGACTTCCGGATGGCTTCTCTCTCGGCTGGTAAACCAGGAGAAAGGAATTTGCAAGGCACACTCATCTGAGATGTCAGTAAAGGCCTCGCCGTCTTCCAGGGACCCATAATGGCAATGGAATGTCTCTCTAGTTGTGTTTCCCAATCCTGAGCAACTTCAAATCTTGTGAATTACAATTCCCGGAATTCCCTAGCCACTCAAGCATTCTGCTGGCTGAGGAACTCTGGGAGTTTAAAACTTTGAAAGTTGAGGAATACTCCTATAGCATTCCTTCCCCCCACCTTGGACTGCAGCGCCCAGAATTCCCCGCCCAACGGATGTCTTCCTCGATTGTCTAACCCTGTTGGTCAAGCACCTGGAGCAACAAATCGAACAGCGGCCACTCCCCTATTGCTTTGGCTATTCCTACAAAATCCACATTTAACTTTTGGAGCATGAGGAATCAGAAATTAAAAGAAACAAGTTCAGGTTTCCAGGAATCTGGCATTCCACATAGGTTTTCAATACTCCCACTGCGAGATAGTGACACACAGGGGATTTGACTTTTTTAAAAAAATTAATAAACTGCCTGTTTGGACAAAGTGGCCAAAAAAACCAGGGTGGGGGAGAGGAAAAAGGCCAATGGAGCCCCAGTGCTTAGATAATAGAGCAAGGGTCTTCAAACGTGGCAAGTTTAAGATTTGTGGACTTTTGACTCCAGAATTCCTGAGCTAACATGACTGGAGGAGGAATTCTGGGAGTTGAAGTCCACAAGTCTTAAAGCTGTCAAGTCTGAAGACGCCAGCATAAGACTTTTCCAACATGGAATCCCCCGATGTCTTAGACCAGGGCTCTCCAAACTTGGCAATTTTAAGGCTTGTGGACTTCATCTATGGTGGGCTGAGGAATTCTGGGAATTGAAGTCCACAAGTCTTAAAGTTGCCAAGTTTGAGGACCCATGAATTAGATAGTTAGTAACCAGTGCTTGGTAATGTTAGATTCAATCTCTTTTTTACAAGGCATTCTGATCTGACTAGGACAGTGTTTCTCAAACTTGGCAATTGGAGGATGTGCAGACTTCACCTCCCAGAATCCCACTGCCAACCTAACTGGCAGGGGAATTCTGGGAATTGAAGTCTGCATATCTTTAGGTTGCAAGGTTGAAAAACACTAGACCTACAAACGTTTGTCTTCCTATTACAGGAATCTCTAATTCCTGGGTTGGAGGCTGCAATTCAGTTAAAAAAAAAGCAACCACCACAGATAATGCAGCTATAAAGAACTGATTTATCAAGCTACGGCCTGCCACTGCCTCCTTCCTCATTTTTATTTTATTTGAAAGCTTGGAGTTCTTACTTGGGATTCAGAGAGATTTTTAGAAATGGAGGTTTAAGTTGTGGGCACTCCATCCCGGGAGGTTTTTGAGAAGAGATTGGACAGCCATTTATCCAAATGGTAAAGGGTCTCCTGTTCCAATGGTTGGATTAGAAGATCTCTAAGGTCCCTTCCAACTCTGTTATCCTGTTCTAAGTTAGCGGTGTTCTGACCCAACCAGGTTCCCAAAGAACAAACACAGAAAAAGGCAGCAGCCCCCACCTTTTAAGCTTTAATAACGAATTCTGTTCTGAAGGCTGCTTTCCACTAATTAGCTCAGACAAGAAAGAGCCTTGCCAAGTTGTTTGTCAAGGTTGCCAAAAACCCAGATATAAGAACTAATTTACAAAATTCTCCAAACACAAACTAAGATGTCCACCAGTTGAGCTTCAGAGCTTCTTTGCTGTCTGCAAAGAACACTTTTCCAAACCTGGCTTTTATCCTCTTGAGGGAGGGGCCATTACCTTGCAGCCTTACTCCCAAGTCGCCTGTGCTGCTGTAATTCTTTTCTCCGAGTAATCCTTCGTGCACATGCACTTGGCACAGGCTCCTTGGGAACCTCCTCGTCACTGTTGCAATCTCTGAAGGCATCAGTCTGCTCCCTGATGGTCCTGGCCCCTCATCAGAGTCCTCGCTCTCCTCAGCCATCTGCACCTGCTGCCGGCTAACCACAAGAAGTGGCTGCGCTTTGCTCAGGGACATGCCAACATTCCAGATTATGATTAATTACCTTCACTGGTACAGTTCCACAGCAGTAGCTGGTCCCTGCTGTACTGAAAGGAATGTCTGACACGACCGTATTGTTGCTAGAAGCAGAGAAGGAAGACATTAGGATTCTGCAGGCAAAGAAATACTTGCAGCCTAAATATTCAGAGTAATGGATTTTTAAACCACTATAAGACATTCTCGTTGCCCATTTTTAACAGATAAGCAAGAAATGAATACTATATTAAAGCTCTTGATGTAGCCTTTACAATTTGTGCACGCTTCAAGATTAGGTTACAATCCAGACAACCACTAGAGGGCACTAAAACAACACCATCTGCTGTCGTTTGGTGACTGAAATACTGTATTTACCATTTATGAAATCCAGAAATCAGTTTATAATATTCAAAGTGCATATTTGAGCACAGAAATAACATGCACATAACATTTTTTAAAAAGCTAGTGCTTTTTCTCAAAAGTGGGATCGTTTATTTTCAGATCAATCAAGTGTTAATCCACCGGTTAGGAAAGAAATTGACTGGGTTGTTGCCTAAGCTATGTTTAACTGTTATGCAATACTGCTGCAAGAGAAAATAAATCTTCTGAACTGCTTCTAGCAGGATTTCTGGATGGACCCAAACTACACAATTGGTGCCAATGAAAAATCTCTTGATATTGATTTAATATCCCAATCCTTTTGAATTGCCTCACAAAAATGGAATTAGACTGATGGCTACATCTAAGGAAGTAATGTTGGAAAACTGTTATCCTCCCCCCCCAATTACTTGTGTCCTTTTGAATTTTTTTCCCTCCTGTTCAATTATGTCTGATTCCCAAAAAAAACATGCCCTATTAAAATACAGACTCTTGCAAGAGAAAGCTTACCTCCAACATGAAGTGTGTTAAAAGAGCAGGGGCAATGTTGGCTCCTATTTTCTAACTGAGTAATAAAAGGAAGGGACGACCACAGAAGCCGATAAAAATCTTTCCGGCAACAGAAAAGAGCCACTCTTGTGTAGGCATTCAGGTATTTTACTGAAGAGAGAAACCAGAGACTCTCATGAAGGGAAATGGTAGGAAGAGCAGCATGCAGAAATTCCCCTCCCTTCAGGAAAACAAGTGTGGCTTCCTTTAGTTTAGTCTCCAACCTTGGCAACTTTAAGCCTGGCGGACTTCAACTCCCAGAATTCCCCAGCCAGCATTGCCAAACCTTCATCAAAAATGACCCATAGCAAACAATGGATTTGCTCAATGACCGTGGATTCACTTAGCAACCATGGTGATTTGCTTAACAACTGTTGCAAAATAATAAAATTAGGTCAGTGACATGACTTGTTTTATGATCATCACAACTTATGACTGTAATGTTCTGACCAAACATGGCAAATCCTCTGTAGTTAAATAAATGTTCCCTTTATTAGGAACACCAGCAGCCCTGGCAAAAATATATATATCTTTCTCTCACAGCAGGCTAAGTCTGTCTGGCAGGGAGATGAATAATTGTCTGCCACATCTATTCATCTCGGCCCCCTGCCTTTTATCCCCAGAGCTAGGGTGGGGCTTTGCTAGCAGCAGTGGCTCTTCCATCCCAAGGACCGGCCCATAGATTTCCACTGTTCTCCTCTGCCTTCTGCACATCAAGCACTGGACCCAGCTGTTCCTCCTCTTCCTCATCAGCCACCTCCAGACCTGGGGGCTGTGGACTCTCCATCTGAGGGCTGACGGAAAGCCCAGTTTCTGCCTCTCTCTCTCTGCCAGCTCCATTCCCTCTTCCCCCTTGGAGGTCTCAAATTGCCTTGATGCTGCCCCTGACTCCCACTCCTCCTCATCTGGTGGAGGGGCCGGCGTTCGACAGGCCACAACAAACATGCAGGCTCCATCACGGCCATTAGTCAAGGACTACCTAGTGCTTTGTGCACTAGCAAAACCCAGGAAACTATACCTGAAAAAGCATTAGAGCAACAAGCGGCTCCAAAGTCTCCATGCATTCTTGCAACCGCATTCTTCACTGCATTGTGCACGATGCGCTCCTCAATGAACTGTGGACAGCGAGGGTCTTCAGAGATAATCTCGCAGAGGAAGTACCTGGAAAAGCAGAGAAGAAGATCAAAGAAAGGACTCTTAGAGCTACCCATAGTGCACTGCCAGCGTTATACAGCTGGGCAGAATGCTTTCATAACTTCCAGCTATGGGCGCTCCATCACTGGAGGTTTTTAAGAGTCTAGGCAGTCACTTATCTGAAATATTACAGGTTCTCCTGCTTGAGCAGGGGGCTGGACTAGAAGACCTCTAAGGTCCCTTCCAGGCCTACGATTCTGTTATAACCAGTTCTGGGCTTGCCTCCAGAAACCTCACGGAGGTTTTTAAGAAGAGATTGGCCAACCATTTGCCTGAAATGATATAGGTATATAGGGCCTCCTGCTTGAGCAGAGGGCTGGACTAGAGGATCTCCAAGGTCCCTTCCAGCTCTATTCTATTCATTCGCACCACGTGCTTGGCCCGCGTTTCCATGCGTCATTGGGAAGGCAGCGGCTGCCTCGGCCGAACGAGGGCTCCCAGCGCCGCCGCCGCCGCCGCGCTCTCCGAGCTCCCGCGCTCACCCTTCCCTGCCGCCCGCCGAAGCCTCACCGGTTCCTAAACCGAACCATAGCGCGACTCGGTCTGGAAGAAGAGTCGGTACGCTCTAGCCCGCCGCGTCTCTATCGCGGAAGCGCCCTCGCCCACAGAGATAAGAAGAGAGAGAGAGAGAGGGAGAGAGAGAGAGAGAGAGAGAGAAGATTCTCCTTCCCATTGGCCCGCATCTGACGTCACGTGCAGATGTTTTTGCACCCTCTCCTTCTCTATCGCCTTTGGAAAGTTCTTTTTTTTTTTCCTCCAGCGAACCAATCAGCGGCTGTCATGCGTCCTCCCTTCCTTTTCCCCTCCCACAAATGGTTTATTTTCCCTCTCTGAAACGTACCGCCTCTCTCATTGGCTGTCTGAGAGGGAGAGGCAGGGAGAGCGCAAAAGCGGAGCTTATAAAAGCCGTTGCCTTTTTTTCCCGCCCTTTGTAGATTTTTTTTTGGGGGGGGGGGGGGGGGGGAGGCTTCCCTGAGGTTTGAGTTTCTTGAGGTAACGCCTCGCTTTTGTAAATCATCGCAAATAAGAGAATGGGATTGTCTGCAAACGACACGCCAATTGTCACAACACACAACCTGCCAGTGAATAATTCCGGGAGCACGAAAAGCCTCCTGAGGATGGCTGGGATAACAATACCCATCATCCCCACCAAGAAGGCGGTGCAGCCAAAACACATCCTGCCTTGTAGCTGTGGAGATTCAATGTGGGATTGGATTGGCTTAACCCCCCCTCAGTGGAGTGGCAGCACTAAGCATTTAAGAGTGGATCAGCCTTGGATGAGAGACCACCAGGAAAGCTCAGGGCTGAATGAGGTTGAAAAACAAAAGAATTTGGGAATAATTTGAGGATTCTCGAAGGGATTTGTGTCACTAGAGAGAGAAGAGAGGTGACATTACAGTCGGAGGAGGAGGAGGAGGATGCTATGAAAAGACAAGTTATCAACGATGAACATAGAATCGGGCTGGAAGGGGCCTTGAAGGTCTTCTAGTCCAACCCCCTGCCCTAGCAAGAGACTATGCCATTCCGAATAAATGACTTGTCCAGTCACTTCTTAAAAACTTCCAGTGATGGAGCACCTACAACCTCTGAAGCTTTTCCACTAATTAACTGTTCTCAACTGCCAAGAAATTCCCCCTCCTGTATTGGAATTTCATTTTAATGTGTGTCATTGTGTATGCAGGAAAGTGATAATAAAGTGATCTTACTTCCAGGTTGAATCTGTCTTTAATGAGCTTCCAGCCATTACTTCTTGTACTGTCCTCTTCAAAGTTCTGGAGAAAAATCAATGCAATGCAAGCCCTGTTGTATGTGAAAGAAACACTGAATTTTGTGAAAATAAAGGATCAAAGCTAACATGCTGAGTTGATGGCAGTGGAAGGTCAAGCAGCCCAAAAGAAAAACACTGACCAAGGCAAAGCAGGTGGATCTACAAGTGAACACAGGCTTCACCATGTCTGATTTGCTAGTTGATGCATTGCTATTGAGGGACTTTGAGGAGGAAACTGATACTATGAAAAAGCAGTTGGAAACACCGAAGCATCATGCTACTGTCCCTTTTTTCTTAGTGGAATCAAAAAGAAAATTGAAATCTTTACTGCCCTTCTGAATTGCCTTTAATATTCATTCCAGCAGTGTGCATATTATTAGGAGGCCTCAAAATTAAATAGCCATCTAGAGTGCTGATGTAAACAGAAAGATGGTGTATATAATTTGAAAGAAGTAAGTCAAGCTCAAATCTGAAAGAGACATTACATTTATGTTATTATAAACCACTGTACTGGACAAGGAGAATAAGGTTGACAGATAATAAAGTTCTCTGATCTTTCTGTAGAATTGCACCTCAATCAATTCAGTTAATGTTTTTTCGAATCAACTCAAAATTTGTGGGTTTTCAATTCATAATGCCAAAAGAATTAAAAAAAAAAACAAGCACAAGGATTATTTGGCCACAGAATGTATATACCTATAATTTATTCATCTGTTCTTTTTCTCCTGAGACAAAAGAAGATAAAATTTCTAATGAGACTCTGGTTAGGTGCCCTGGCAGTCCGCATTCTGTAAGATGTGGCCATCCTCCACCCAGTGGAAATTGGAGCAATTAAAGGAATAGAATGAATGTGACATCCAAAATGGCTTTCCATTTTCTACTGTCTGGAAAAACTCATTTACACTTCAAATCTTGGCCTGCCAGCACTGGTAGGAAAACATCTTGAGTGCAAAGAATGTTACACTGCCACTTGCACACAAGCCTCACCTAGGTGGGCTTGTTCAAATATTGGAAATGTCAAAGGGGTAGAACATTTCTAGGATGTTGGACCATCCTGCCCTTTCAGGGACTGTCCAACTTGTTGGAGAGAAACAGAGACCAGCCCTTTTCATACTGATGCCTTGCTAGAAAATCCACAAACAGAAGAGACCAGATTTGACAAGGTCAGGGAGAAAATACAACAGATGTAATGCAGACTTCAGGTGGGAAGAAGGAGGGATTAAGTTTTTCTGCTGTCATGCTTGAAGACTTTGGTGAGTGATGGGCAGTATAATAAGTATTGATTGTGCAACAAAAATACAGATTGGGCTCTTCATAAAAACGTGTGAATACTTATGGAAAAATATGACTGCCCTTTTACTTTAAAATCTCCTTGAAATGCTACTTCCTTTTCTAACAAACTTGGCTCAAATTGTGGCTTCTGCATTGTGTTGCAGGAAATTTATATAACTGCTTCCTTGCAGTCCTCAAAACCGTTTTTATGGTTATGAGTGTCCTCCAACTGCATTGCCAAATTTGCTCATCTGATTGCCAAGAATTGATAGCAGTTTCCTGTAATTCTATAGAAGGAAACAGGTAAATGTACTTGACAAAACTTCAGAAACAAAGGAGAATCCTACTTCTCCACATGGCTCCTTGTATGTCAGATGCAGCCTTGCCCACTTGACCTCACTGCCCAGCTAGGCTATGAGGGACCTTCCCATGCCAGAACATGGTGCAGCCCAAGTCACTACAGTATACGCTATATATTGTATGTTCTCTTTTACTTATTTAATACGTATGTTGTTAATGTATCTAACATTAAATTCATAAACTAATCACATCCTTGCTTTGGGCCTCTGAAAGGGTCTTGTGTGCCACAGTGCCAGCCAGGTAATCCTTCAGGTGTCTCAACAGTATATGGTCAAAAAAAGTCGACGGCTTATAAAAAATGGGTAAAGGTTTAATTTTGCCATTGTGGCCCCCACCTTGACTTTTTTATGATTATAATAATCTGGAGCTTAACATGTTTAAAATTGTAGAGGTGAGAATGGGTTTTAGGAGGAGCCCTTCTATTTTACCCCCTCTTACTATAGAAAGCACAGTATCAGCAGTAGAGTCCTTCAAGTGTTTGCATTCTATAATCTCCCAGGACTTGAAATGGATGCTTCAGATTAGAACCATCATTAAAAAGCAATACAAAGGATGTTTTTCTTGCATCGGCTTAGGCAGCTCAGACTGCCCCAGGAGCTGTTGATACAGTTTTACCAAGGAATTATTAAGTCTGTCATTTCTGCTTCTATAACTGTCTGGTTTGGTACAGCAAGCAGGGCAGGCACAGATTTTGCAGTTAAGACTGCAGAAAGAACAATTTCAACCAGCCTGCCTTTGATAGAAGACCTGTCTCTTGTGTGGGTCAGAAGGAGGGCTGAGAAGATTATCTGCCGACCCCTCACATCCTGAACATAAACTGTTTGAAGTCATTCCCTCCGTATGGCACTAAAGGGCATTGTATGCCAAAACAATTAGGTACAGGGGCAGTTTTTCTCCTCGTGCCATCACTCTGTTGAATACTTAATTCTCTCAGTGCTGCTAGTGTCTATTAATCCAGTGTTATTGTAGTATTATTTATCCTTTTATTATCTTCTTTACTCCCTCCTTTTATTGCTATTATTATTTTTCTGTTGCTTTGCTGAGAGCTTCTGTATCGGAGACAAATTTCTTGTATGTCCGATCACATTTGGCCGAATAAAGTATTCAATTCAAGCTGTGAACAGGTTTGTAAGTCTTTGAGTCTATTGGAGTCTCAGCACTCCTGCTTCAACCTTTTTTTCCCTTCCTGGCTCTAAGCTTTGTGCTTAATTTGTGTTTAATCTGCCTGCATTCTGGACATTCCCCTCCCAGAGAATGGTTAGCTTTCCAGCTCAGGATCCCGACGGGTTTTCCGCTCTGTGGACACTTCTACAGATATGCAATGCTTTCCTTGTGCCTTACGAAACCCTGCACCCAGGTTGTGTTTTTCCATTTGACAACGATGCAGCTGAGGCTTCGGCACCCTGTCTGCCTCAGTGCGCTTGGTCGGGTAATCGGATAGGAAGGGTGCACTGAGCCAGGTCCAGGGAGTAGCAGAGATCTTCTATCTTTGCCCCAGGAGTCTGATTAGGGGTGACATGGAAGGCGGAAGAAAGAAAGAATGGAACAAACCATTTTCCTTTGTTTTTAAGCCGGAAAGCACCACTATAACCGCATTCACCTGGGGTAGCTGCCACCTATATGGAAATGCCACAATCAATATCACCTTCCTTAATTTCTTCCATCTAAAGAAAGGAACCTGATACAGGTAGTTCTCAATTTAAGTCCCTGAGTCCAAAAATGTATGTTGCTAAGTGAGAGAGTTAAGTGAACTTTGCTCCATTTTATGACTTTTTCATAGTTGTTAAGTGAATCACTGAAGTTGTTAAGTTAGTAACATGGTCTTTAAGCCTCCCCGTTGACTTTGCTTGCCAGAAGGTTGCAAAAGGGGATCACCCAGACACCGCAACCGTCGTGTGGATATCAGCTGGGCAATTGCCAAGAGCCGGAATTTTGCTCATGTGACTCATTCTTGCAACGGTCAGAAGTGTGAAAAATGGTCCTGAGTCACTTTTTTTTCAGTGCCACTGTAACTTTGAATGATCATTAAATGAACTACTTGTAGTTTTTAATTGCCCATACTCTCAGCATAAGAGTATATTGAGCACCTCTCACCTAACAGTTGGATCGCGGACAAATACAAAATATAGTAAGCTCACCAGAGTCACT